CAACCGCGTTCACCTGGACCAACCGCGTTCACCTGGACCAACCGCGTTCACCTGGACCAACCACGTTCACCTGGACCAACCACGTTCACCTGGACCAACCACGTTCACCTGGACCAAACACGTTCACCATGTTTCAGTTGTCATCTGAACTGCCTTCAGCTCGTCTTGCTTGGAAAATCCATCCAATCATCCAGACAGCTGTGCCTGTCTCCAGCAGTCGCTTGTGTCAGAGGGACACTTGGACAGATCTCTAGTCCTTCACAGAGACACAAAAAACCAGTCACACTCTCACCAACACCCAGGGACAGTTTTGAGTCACCAACAAACCTAACCTGCATGTATTTGGTCTGTGAGAGGCAACTAGAGCAAATACACAGGTGCACAGGAGGGACATGTAAACTCCACAGGAGGCTGGGGGTGAACCTGCAGCCTTGTTGCTGTGAGGCAGCAGCACTTAAATAACAAGAACACCTAAAGAGCAATCATGAGGAGTTTATTGTGAAAAGATCCAAACAGGAAGTTCAGGGCTGTGTTCAGTGAGTGAATCAAGATTCACTTTGATACCACAGATTTATGCTACAACATTCCCTCCGCTGCAGTCAGAGGTTACAACACCTGAAGACATTCAGGTTGTCAGGCTGCATGAACAGCCTATTCTCTAAGACCACACCTTTTATTGCACTCACAGCGGTCATTACAGAAGAAGGAGAATGTGCACGTATGCATTCATGTGACAAGAAAAAGGCAAAAATATCAATCATCTTACAGTGTATTCTTCTTCTTCTTAGTATATTTCTATATATTACAATATTCTACAGTCAGATGAATGCAGCAGTTTTATATTTTTTTATCATTTTTATAATTTAAGAAGTTATAAGACAGTAAATAAAATGTCTCATTATTCAACTAAAGATTAAAAACGGATCAATGAGCTCAAAGGGACCTTCTAGTTTTCACAGAACTAAAAAAAAAAAAAAACAAATTCTTTAAATTAATAAATCATTGATAACTCATCACATTTGTGTTTTTATTTAAAATTTCACTCGATAAACTTTTTTTTGGGGCAACACAGTGGTTCAGTGGTTAGCACTGATGTCTCACAGCAAGAAGGTTCTTGAACAGTTCAGACCTGTGGTCCTTCATTGTTTTCATGTTCTTGTGCTTGTGTGGGTGTGTTCCTTGGGCTTCATGATGCTGTTTGCTTGCTGATTTTCATCAAACATCAGAGTCTCCCAGAACAGCTGGATTTAATCTGAGATTAGTTTACACAGCTGGACTAACTAATTCATTCTGCTGTTTGTAAAAACAGAGGGAAAGTTGAAATGAGATAAAGAGAAGCTAAAAATATAAATAAAAAATAAAATCTTTAAAGGCACAGTGTGTAGGATTTGTTGTTTTCAGCGACATCTAGTGGTTGAATCATCCTCCCTG